CTGATGCGATTCTGAAGGCAAGGAAAGAATGTATTTTGGGGACATAAAGTTGTTACACATAAGATGTCCATTAGAGGAAAGGCATTTTTACCCAGTTTCTTAACATTGAAATAATCAGCCATTGCTGGTATTATCTCTACCTTCAGATAGGGTTTCTGTTTGTAATTGTGGATACTGGCAGTTCTAGTCAGATGACATCAGCTCCTCTTAGTGTGAAAATTCCTCCAAAGCTTGTGTGTATGTGTGCCATGCTGGCCAGAACTTTCAATCAGATTCTGAGTAACTGCTCCTTCTCTCACTTGAATCCCCCAGCCCCATTTCTGAATTCTAAGACCTGTAGTCAAGTGAGGAAGAGGAAAAGGCTGAAATAAAGGAAGGGTGCTTATGGAGCTCAAACTTTTACCTTTGAAATAAGAGATGAAACCGAAGGAAGCCAGTTTGACCTTCAAAAATTGCTATCCCTATATTACTCATCTTCACTCTCATATTCACCTCCAAAAGAAATGATTACTCCTATACAATTTTCCAAAGTTACCAGGTCTGCAAATATCTAGCCTAAAAATTGGCCTTGGCCCCAACTGTCTCCAATGCTGATTAACCGCATAGACTGCCTGCACATGTCCCTCAGAGAGCGCACAGCCTCATCTGGCTACAGCTGACACATTCTCTGTGGCCCCACCCCCTGCACTTCAGATTCCCAAGAGAGCCAATCAAAGACAGCGAATGTCAGAGTCAGCAACCTCTTTGGTCTTTAGGGCCTCTGCTGGGTTCAGCAGAGCCCATGGGGGAAGTCTAATGTGGTCTAAGAGATAGGCAGAGAAGATAAAAAAAGAAAAGTGTGATTGGGAAATATAGGGAAAACATAAGAACAGTGATAGGAAGATAAGAAAAAGAACAAAAAAGGTGATCATCTTGACTTTGATCACCTTGAAGATTCTTTAAGTTCTAATAGTCCCTCATTCTGTTCTGAGACTGCTGCACTGAGAACCTGCTTTGGTTCCCTGATGTGATATGAGAACGTGCTTACTTTGCTGTATGTATCAGTGCAGAGAATGTGGAAGTGTGAGCTGGAAGGGGAGACCACCAGAGTGCATTTGTGTGAGTGTGTGTATAACAGGACACTTCTAAGTCAAAAGCTTAGCTAATTAGTAAGAGCAAGCCTTCTGGCAAGCTGTGGAAACCCTTTATTTTAAGACCACTGAAGTGATGCGTCCAAGTGAACACCTTGCGTCCATCTCCTGTGCCTCAGGGGTGGCATGAGGCTTTGCTTCTGGGGCAAAGCTCACAGTGAGTTTGGTTTTTGGCACCGGCAGGATGCATCATCTCTCCTCCCACAGTCCTTAATGAAGTGTGCAGCTCTTGTCCTCATTAGGCCCCAGCATCGTCAATAAAAGAGTCAATAAACCCAGTTGATGGGGTTGGGACCAAGGGGCTGAGATGCAGCAGCCGCACATGCACAGGGCAGACGTCAGCTCTGCCCGTGTCGTGACCCAGCATCCAGGGATCAATAACCAGCTCAGAATAAAGCCCAAGAGCCTGCCCTCCACAGTCTCCTCTCCAGATCCATTTCACCCAGGGCTAAGCAATGCCAGCCGGCTCCCGGTTTGCTTGCAGTTGGCTCTACCCCGTGCCATTCTGGGTGCCAGATGCTTTTGTTTCTTCTTGATCGAGCCCTCTGAACACCCCACGGATGCATATTTAGTGAGTGCCCACCTGGCATGAGAACATGTAGACAGCATCTCCAAGCAGCCCAGAGGCTGGCATGGGCCCTGTTTTCTGTGTCTTCAGTCTGCTGACAGTGTGTGAGGGGCCCCAGTGGACCAGACGGTGTATTTTCTGCATGTTGTGCTGCAGGACTCCATTCCCGGCTGCTCTGTATCTCTTTAGATATCCTTATCTTATCTAATTACAAGGAATTTCAGATTAATTTCAGGGCCTGTGCTCCAAAGCACCGCTTATCTGTGAGGGCCTTGTATTCTAACCTTGTCATTCTTTTGTTGTTTGCCTTTAAGGGGCAGGCTGCTAAGCAGGGGATGCTAAGATCTTGCTGGAATTAGGGTTGGGGGGATGGGAAGAGGAGGGAGGCAGACAGATCTGGGATTTGTGTATTCTGCTCCATCCCCCTGCCTGTGTGCAGAGACAGCTGGCTGCTTACTTCCATGACAGCCACATGGTACCCAGCCACACAGAACAGGCCCCTGGCCGGGACTCATCTGCTGCCAACCTCTCCAGATCCCTTTGATATTTCCGACAGAGCAGTGAAAGACTCTTGACTATCACGTTTTGCATTGCCTCTCTCCACCTCCTCTAAGACTCCTCGGTGTGGTTTCCATGGCTACCCCCAATCAGACGGGGCTTCATGCGAAATTGGATTTCAAAGAAGGACATGACTTCAAAGGAATTTGTCCATTTAACAGAATGTCATTAAGGAGTGAGACTGACTGCTGAACCAGGGTCCTCAGATGAGGAAGGAGGGGCTGCACTCATGTGTGGAGGCAGGTTTCTGTCTGCAATGAGGACCCTTGATGCAACACAATGCCGTACTGGAATCTGCCAGTCTCCCCTGCACACTACCCAGCTCTGCACCTCCCTCTGCCCTTGTCTCTCTAAAGCACAGAATGGATGTAGAATACGGATGCCATGAGTTTCTGCTGCTTCCCTCGGTATGAGTAAACTATGACAAGCAGTGAGGCCCGAGAGGATGGGCAACGACCTGGGATTACTGCTCTTTATCAAGCAACTTATTAGCTTGTAGCCTGTATTATATCTGACAAATATCCCTGAAGAAGAGGGGAAGGTTGGTAAATTTTGTCCCACTGCTGAGAGGGAAAGCAAGATAATGTGCTGGGATTACATATAGGAGGGATTTTGTTTTCCTTGCTGTTTTTAGGAGTTTGGGATTTATAGAAAAATTGCAACGATAGTACAGAGAGTTTCCCTATCTCCTTCCTTGCTTTTTAACATGTCATGAGTGCTCAAAACTGATTCCAGAGCAGCTACAATCTTAAAGGTGTAGCGAGTGTGGTAAAAATGCGCCAGCAGGGATCTGGTATTTGCTCCAGAGCCTGGAGGAGGCAGCCTGCCTGTTGTTAGCTTTCCCAGGGCAAGAAGGAGGAGCAGCAGGAGCCAGATTCCCCATAGACTATTGCCAACCTCTGTCCCCCTCAAACGCCAATCTGCTGCAACCTGGGGGTCGGTCATGTGACCCTGCCACCAGGGCACCATTCCTCTTCAGGCTGCAGGACATGGACACATAAAGATGGCTCAAATCTACTACAGTCCTTAAAGGATCATGCTCCCAACCTTAAGACTGTATCTCTGGAGGGGAAACTATGCCGTGAGGTAGACCCTGCTACCCCAGATCTTTCTGGACAGTTTCTCCTCGGGGCTCCTGTCCCCATATCAATAGTTCTGTCATTATTTCCCCAGAGGCTACTGTAAAAACCACTTCAGCCATCTTCCCTGTGTCTTCTTTCTTCCCCCTTCCATCCTCCCCACATATCCTGTAGGTGGAGTCTGAGAAGAGAAAATCCATTTTCACCAAGAAGGAAAATGGTAGAAATGAAGTGATGGATGAGATCACAACTACACAGGGGCTCATGTTAGGTCACACCCAGCCCAAAAATTGTCCATGGCTTCCCAATGCACACGCAACTGAGTTCAAAATCCTCATTCTGACTTTCAAGTCCCTTCACAATAGTTTCATTTTTTCTTGACAACCGTAATTTCTCTACATCATTCAGGAAAGAAGGTTCTTAGCTGTTCCTCAAGCAGGAGAAGGTTTTTCCATTTTTGTTTACTCTGGTTGTGTTCCACCTTGAGGGCCCTCCTGCCCCTTCAAAGTCTGGTGTGTTCTGAGCCCTTCTCAAGTAAGTGCACATGCACCATTAAACACACACACAGCAGCAAGCCCCTCCTTTTGTTATACTCACCTCCCTCCACCTCCCTCCTTTTATGGCTCATGGCATTTACGGCCTTTTTCATGCCACTTGGCCTATTAGGCTTTAAAACAAAACTATTTTGAGGTAAGAATTAATGACAAAAAATACAAAGCAATCCTGTCTACCTTTTACCCAGCTCCACCCAATAGTAACATCTTGCATTGTTACATTCAGCACCACAGGACAACTGGGACACTGACACCTGTACTTTGAATGGGAGGGAGAGATATTTTGTGATCTTGTCCTTTCCTGCCTTTGTCAGCTCTTAGAGAGAAAGGGCTTGGCTCCCCTTTCCCTCAAGCTTTCTCCCCAGGTTACCCCTTCCTTTTCTCACATCCTTTCAGCCTTGGGGAGGAAGGGGCACCTTATGACCTGAGTAAATATAAACTTTCAGAGTAGAAAAGTATTTGCAGGGTAGAAGAGTATCTGGCTGTCTAAGAAACAATCCTATCTTTCCCTATGTGTTGGTTCCATGTTCAATGTTAAAGGGGGCTGTGAGTGTCTGGTTTCCAGGAGAGAAGGAACTGTGTCTATTGCAGCCATGCTGCGCTGCTTCCCCCAAACGTTGGTGGCTTTGTATCATTTATGGGGACTATGGGCCATTCCCGTTAACCATCCCGCTTTGCCTGAGGGAGCGAGCGTTCTGCCCCCGTTCCGGGCGTGGACGTGGACCTGGATCGGGAACTGAGCGCTGCGAAGCGTGCTGGGGACTAACCTCTTCCTCGGATTCCGCCTCTCCACGCCCATTTTGGGCACGACCGTGGTTTTTGAACTTGCCCGTTGAGCCCAACTGTCCAGTGCTTAGGGTGGGAAGCCTCCCAAGTAGACGAGGTCCTTTGAGTCGCCCGAAGCCTTTTCGTGGGCGTGGGGGGTCTGCAGCGGCACCGCCTCCGCCCCGCGTAGCGCGGGCTCCCCGCCCGCCAGCTCTGCACCCCTGGCCCGCGAGAGGAGCGCGGACACCGCGCCAGGTGTCCCCACGCCCCGGGGCGCAGCCCCCGCCGCCGCGCGCGCCACTTCCTGAGCGCGCCCCGGGCCCGCGGCCCCGCCCTGCGGCCCCGCCCGCGGCGGCTGCGGGCGGCTACAGAGGTACAGGTGCCTCCGCCGCGCGGTCCGCCGCCTTCCAGCCCGCCGGTCGCGGCGCCGGGCCTTCACGGCCCCACTCCCGCCAAATGCAGGCCGTCGCTCTCCCCGAGGAGATCCGTTGGCTCCTGGAAGGTAACGCCCTGGCCTGGCCCCAGGCCCCGGCCCTGACCCCACCCGGAAGGCCCCCAGGTGCTGGGCTGAGGGCAGGAAGGGAGACGCCAGGGGCTCCCAAGGCGGGTTCTCCTTTCAGTTCCATCGCTGCCACCTTCTAGAACCTCAAGGCGTGTAGACCCTCAACTCTGCTAAGCCAGATTTTCACTCACTTCAGCGTCCCCGTTCACTCCGATCAGTTCCACATTTTCTTTTTCCTCAAGGCCTCTCCACCCGTCCACTGCACCTCCCAGGCTTCTGAACAACTTCAGGCCAGGTTCTTGGGCCGCCCTGCCACCCGGCCTGGTCTACAGCCTCTCCCTTTCTCCTCAGGACACCCCCGTTCTCTGTAGGTCCCAGCCTCCTGCCTTCCCAGGCCTGACCCCGTGACCTCTCGCAGAAGACCCTCACCTTCCCGCTTAGGGCTCCCTGAGGCTCTCAAGGGGGCTTTGAGGGGCTCATGGGGTCCTGTCAGCCATGGCCTGGGGGTTAGTGGAGTTCTCGTCTGCGCCGACACCCCACACCTGCCTTGCCAGCCTGCAGACTTCTGGGGGTCTCGTTACCCCCCTGGGGCAGGCTGGTACTCAGTGTTAGTTTTCTTGCTTCTCTACAAGTGTCCCTTTGTGGTGTGTTCAAACTACAGTGCCTAAGCAGTCCTTTTAAAGAGCAAAGGCCATGCTCAGCAAACACATCCTTCTAGCACTGGAGGGAGACTCTTCGCTAATGGGCGATATCAACTGCTTGGTTCACACTTTTTCTGGCGAAAGTAACTAATTTTCCTGTAACTGACCTTCCAGGAAGGACAGAAGTCTGGAATCCATGCTTACATAAGGGTCCCAGGAGGAAACTGCTCAGAATTAAGCCTTTTGGCATCTAAGTGACATTTTTGACACATATTTAACAGATGGCCTGCTTTGGGCCGGTCATACTTTTGGCAAGCAGTATTTTTTTCAGTTTGTCTCAATTTAATTGGTTTTGTATCTCCATTACCTTGTTATCTTGGTATAATGCTTCCTAATCAAATATTTGGCAAGTCCTTTTGGTCTCTGTTTGTAGCACAGTTTCCATTCTGGATTGCTTCTATGTAAAACCTGTCAACTAGGTATTTCTTTTGAGGTGAAGTTTCTAAAATCCATTTCACTTATGACCTGAGTAAATATAAACTTTCAGAGTAGAAAAGTATTTGCAGGGTAGAAGAGTATCTGGCTGTCTATGAAACAATCCAATCTTTCCCTATGTGTTGGTTCCATGTTCAATGTTAAAGGGGGCTGTGAGTGTCTGGTTTCCAGGAGAGAAGGAATGGTAGCAAAAAGTTTAATTCTGCCCTTGCATTTAAAAGATATAAAGTGATTCTTTTCATCGGTATCTGTCGTTTGATGAGAGGAAACCTATTCTGCAAGCTTGTTAATCTATACTTCCATTTTGTGTGCACCATTGGTCGAAAAAAAAATTCCTTTACATTTTCAGACTTACAATGAAACCTACTCCTTCAACATTTTTGATGTGCAGTTCTTTATTGTTCAAAACTGACACTTTGGTGAACAACTCATTTCTGCACCTGCCAGTTTCCTTTAATTTAGATTATGTTCTTGTTAGCTGACTGTTTTTAATTGAAGTCTTCAGATCTCCTAAAACAGAACCTTTGTTTGCTGACAAGTAGAGCAGGGTATGAATGGAGATTAATTGCATGTCACAAACTTCTGTATCAGACTTGCTGTGTCTTAACAATCTCTGTTGGTGCTCCTGTCTTTGGAATATACCGAGGAGTCTGAGATTAAATTTTAAGGAGCTTCACTGGTTAATGTAGTTCTTTAAGGCTTTTTTTTTAAGTTTGCAATTAGCGTCTGAATCTGAAGTAGAGAAAAAATGTAAAAATGGGAGTCAACCATTCTATTGAAAAAATGTTTTTGAGGGTATGTTTCTGAAAGGTTCATGTAATCATAGCAATTTATTGGCTATGTAGATTTTGTTTTTTATGGAACACAGTTTCTGGTGTAGTCCAGCAGAATTATTCACTGCACTACAAATAATTTATGGATATTAGAAACCCATGATCACTATCAATTTATCATCTGTTGCTGTTTACTTGTCTCCCCAACACACAAACACTTTTTTAAGGTAAACTGTTACAATTAGAGAATATGTAGGTCTTGATCTCTATATTGTCACTCAGTGGAGGGAGTTGCAGGGTGACAGAGCTGCCACTTCAGTGCTGCCACATGGCCGTCGGGGTGGAGTTTTCACAATGAATTACTGCTTTCATAAACCAAGGCATAAGCATTTGCACAGTGATTTAACGTTGGCCATCACAGTCATAACTTAAGCATTTATTTATTTATAACTACATAAGAATAAGTGATGGGAGTTTTTTTGACATAATATGTGTGCATTTAAAAATAAAATATGCAAAGCACTGTGAAATGCTTATGCCAAAATTTTGCATAATGAAGAAGGGAACAGGAAGTCTGAGGACCTAAAATTAAGGATAAAATTTTAAACATTTGAAAATATTTCATTTGACCCAGAAACTCCACTTCCAGGAATCTGTGTTACTGAAATAACATAAAGGTCTATGTACAAAGATCCATCCTAAGTGTCCATGAGTTGAGGAAGGTGGGTGAATGCTTTGAATAAATTATCCATCTTATGGTATATTTTACAGCCATTAAAAAAGATGTGATGGATCTCTATGTGCTCTCATGGAAAGTGTAACATTTTTAAGACTAAAAAGCAAGGTGCACAATAAAATATATAATATTCCATTTTTCTTTGAAAACAAAAAAGAAACCAAAAACACTTCCATGTATTATATATGTTTGTGTAAGTCTGGAAATAAGTAAGAAAGAATATACACCAAGCTCTTAACATTGCTTTCCTTGAGAGTGGAGTGAGAGGGTAGGGGAGAGAGAAATTATTCATTATATTTCATATATCTTCATGTTTGAACTGTGACAATGACCATGTATTACTTTTTTTTTTTGAGAGGGCATCTCTCATATTTATTGATCAAATGGTTGTTAACAACAATAAAATTCAGTATAGGGG